GCTTAAGTATTTCAAATTAAGCCTTGAGGTACGCGTGGTTTTTAAGTACGGGCACTTAAAATTTTGACTGAATATCTGGCTGAGCAGCTAGGTTACATTTAAAGAACGATCGTTGAATGGAAATTGTACATCTAATTTATGTAAAATTTATGGTGATTTATGCAACTGATCGCAAAAGGTAGGTATAAAGAAACAACCATTCATGCAGTTAATGACCTGAGTACTTCAAGTCCTGTGCAAAAACGCATGATCGCACGGGCCTGCCCGGGGCATTCCAGCCTGGGTTTCTTCACACCTGACTTATGCGCTCAATACCGTAAATTATCGTAAATTCTGCAGGCCTGGGTCGCAATTTGCATGTACGCAAAAGCGCATGAAAAGCTTAATCGCTCATTCCGGTTCCTTACTGTAAGGCGTTTTTTGCAGCGCTAAACCGAGTGATTTCGATTTTTTAAAAACAGTTGGTAAAGGAAGCTTCGGAAAGGTATAAATTTGCCGCTTTATGAATTCATTTTTTTAAAAAAGGCTGATCCAGACTATACAAGCAGCACTTCCATTCATTCCGCAGTAGGCGAATCGAATCACTGTGATTCTAAGGAATAGAAATAACAGGAGCAGATGAATACGTGAAATAAATGAAACATGCACGGTCCTGCTGTACAATTTTTCTGCAATTTCTACCTCACAAACTCAAAGCAGCCGTATTGCAGGTTTACCTTGCCAAGCGCCGAGCCACCCAGAAAATCTATGCTGTGAAAGTAATGAGTAAAGAGCATATCAAATTGCGCAACGAGGTCAAGCATATCATGGCAGAGCGAAACGTCCTCATATCCAACGTCAATCATCCATTTCTCGTTGCGCTCCACTACAGCTTCCAGACTAAGGACAAACTCTATTTTGTACTTGATTACCTGAACGGCGGAGAGGTTTCCTACATTCGCAACAATTTTGGTTTTAAATAACTCCCAAAAATTTGCATTTTGAATTGTACTAGAAGAATCTATCATGAAAAACCCGGTCCAAGGACGCCTTTCAGTTAATAAGGCGTCAAAAAACGCTTTCCTGCATTTTATTTGAAGACTGAGTACCACGCTGCCATTCTGATCAGCGAACCCAACTAAATTAAGTGCAGTCATAAACACAGGTTGCAACGATGAAGAATTTAGGAACAAGGGGTTTCCCTGCTGGACCCCAGCAACAGACTGGCATTCGAAGATGCGGGGATCCTGGAAATGTCCGGTACAAATAAATCGCCATTCACTGGATAGACTCGATTACGGAGTTGTGCTCATGGGAGAGAAATGGCCACTGGGATAAGCTCCGAAGGCACCGGGCACAAATGTGCTGGGGATGGTGGCTACAAACGATTCAGTACTGGAGGACTTTGTCCAGTGCACAGCTACTTCCCATTAACATCAAGGACTTCGCTCAGGCGCCCTCGCGACCCTGAAGATTGACCAAATTTTGAACACTGAGCAACAGCAAATCAAATCTGAGAACAAATTCCGCTGTTCCACTACTGCTGCAAGCGCAAGGACTTCTCTCCCTGTAAAATGCATAAGCAGTGTTGAACTGTTTTAGCTGTTCTTTCATCTTCAAAAGGAGAAACGATTTAGCGAGTCGCGTTCCAGGTTCTATGCCGCTGAAATAGCCAGCGCACTTGGTCACCTTCACAAGAACAACATAATCTACAGGTGAGTGAATACTACCTCTCAAATCTCGCATCCCTCACCATTCCGTTCAACACTCAGTCAACTTACTAAACGCCCAGTGAATTTTAGGGGGCTGTACTGATGATTCCCGCCCTAATCACGTCGGTTACTGTCTGTGTTTACAGCTTGGGGATGAAATACAGGCAGGCTTTTTATACATACACATTTCACACGACTTCCATTAAATCCGACCTTGACTTTTTTTAAAAAAAAAAAAATCCATCGCAACAATCTGGACTTTCTTCCTTTTTATCTTTCCTCCTTTAATCCGAACTTTTACGACCATCTGGTAAATGATTGGCTACGAGGCTGGTATTCCAATCCCTTTTCCTTTTTCTTACAGGGCCCTTCAGGCCCATACTGCCTTTTA